TAACAGTTGCATAAATTATTATATCAAAAATACTATATTTACACTAAATAATTACCCTTAACAGTAAATGGAAGAAAAGCTAAATAGAATTATTAAAAATGCTAAAGACACTCCAATGGGTGCCACCCTCGTGGGTGGCATCGAGTGAACCGTATTGATTGGAGGAGACCCCACGAAATCACGAATTCCAATACAAATACGCGTAATTCGTAAAGTTCCCTACTTTGGAAGATCCCAAAAAATATATTTCCTTAAAAAGTGAAGTTGTTATGGTGCACGTAGAAAATCAAACTTCATCGTGGCTTTAGTCACGACTGCAATTAAGAAATAACGAAAATGATTTGGGAGAACTTTTTCCCATTTTGCCAATCCCCAAAGCGATCCAGAAAGATCAACGCGAGTGAAAATCAAGTGATTTTTCTTTATTCTCTACATCTTTTTATATACTTGTGAATCCTGAAACTTCGGGTCCCTAAAAAGGTATGGACTATACAACTGATGAATAGCTTCATTTACATTAGAGTTACTTTTTGATGGGAAATCCAAATGGTTACTGCTATTTTGAATCCCACACTACGGACAATGCCACAATGTGGGGGGCACAACTCTCATCTGTCACAATCTCAGTTCTTTCTTTGAACTTGAAAAAGATTTATTTCAGTAATAAAAAATAGAAACTGGTATGTTTAGCACACAGAATCTTGTTAAAATATTTAGATAATCAGATCCAGAATTTGCTATTTAGAATTAGGAAGACAAATGACAATTCCGGATTTATCAAAAAATATACTCCCTCCTATTTTTATTATTTGTCATTCTAGATTAATTGATCATTTGTTAAATAAATGTCATTTTTACTACTTTGTACATATTTTTTCATTATTACTCTCATCTAACTAATAAATACACTACGTCTTTTCATATTCACTCTCCATCTTTTCTCAAAACATCCATCTCTATCCTCATTAACGAGGGTTATTATTGACAAAAAAAATATTCTTAATTACTGTGTAACTTTTCAAAACGACATTTATTAAAAATAGGAGGGAGTATTAAGATAAGAATGTTACAAAGAGACGCTTCTTTGCAAAAAAACAAGATGTCAAACCTCACATATTATTGATTTAATTAAGTACAAGCATAAGCATTTACAGATCTTGATAGGCCAACAAAAGATCTTTACTTTAATACAATGCCAAAACTATCTTCTTTTCCTAAGGGCTTCACCTCAAAGAAGATTCTCCTAGCTCAAGTTGAATAACAATCATATGCTACTCCGTCAACATTTTGTATAATTCAACTTCCAAAGGGCACTAGAAGTATAATATTCCAATTCTAATTTTCTGGCACCCGATTAATATGCTTATATAAATCTATCATATGCTTTCTGAAATCTGAATATATATTAAACCCTATCATGGAGTACCAATTGTCATATAAATTAATCACAAATATTATATGTCGTAAATAAATTAACCAAACCATGACGAGAAAAATCATAAGTCCAAATCGGAATGAATTGTGATGCTTTGCGACACACCAGACGTGTGAAGGGCGCCATGAGTGATAAATGAACCTGTATAACACTCACTCATCCCCCACATACAGACTAGATAATTCTTTTAAATCAAAATTCCAACTCTCATCAGTATTATTAATATAATTCAATAATACCAATTAATCATCCCACACATCACATTAACTTTAATTCACTATCTATCTACACACATAATTAATTACTCATCACTTCCAATCACCTCTCTTCTACTTTTACATCAATCAACTTTAATCATCAACAACAACAACATAACCTTTAGTCTCAAGCAAGTCGGAGTAGGCTAGAGATGAAACCCAAGAAAAACACAAAAAGACTCGAACCGAAAGGAAGAGAAATTCAATCGAATTTAAAATAACTTATCCAACAAACTCAAACCAAACCAAACCAAGTTTTTCAAAATAAACTCACTTTATCCAACAAATTCAATCAAATTTAAAATAACTTATATTCAATCACGCCCCCAATGACTAATCGATTGGGACAAACGTAACTTGTAACACTCACCCTCACAAACAACGTGTCGAACCAAATATGGGCCGGTCCAAAACCAACATAACCCTCTTGTGATTTTCAATCCCCTCAGCTAAGTCTCCAAACAATAAATAACAATAAAAATATGGGTGCTCTAATACCATGAAAATGGGACTAGATAGAACTCGCCCCAAAAGCTAGCTCAAAGGTTGAGGGTTCCCAACCCACACGTAAAACTTCTTACATAGAAACAATTCTTCATTTTTATCAACTTAAGAACAAATACGTTAAGTTTAATCATAGTAACTTCCAAAAGGAAACAACGTTGAAAACCCACAATGGATCAACTAAGCAATAACTACGCATACCTAATTACTGACACGAAGCATTTTGCTGAAACTTTGATCGCCTAAAAAAGTCGGCTGTCATAATAATGTCAGAAATCATTTTATGAAAACACCATTACGTTGTATTTCTCACTGTGTTCTGAATTATGCTTTTGCGCAAATTATGTACTTGAGCTTCACTTAAAGTGAAGACCCCATTGGAAGCAAGTTCAAAATAGGTCAGGACACATGACAGTATGATAAAAGTACAGTCTATTACTAAGAGGTTGGCCACACTCCAAATACACACAGGCCACGGCCTTCTATATCCATATGTTGTTACTTGTAATTATGTTAATTGCAGGTAAATACACTATTTATGTTAGATAAAAATAACTGTAGTAAATATGCTTCCTTCAATCCTCCACTTCTAAATATAACAAAATTTTCTTGGCTACGCTGGACAAAAACATATCCAATATTAAAAAAGCCACATTATTTTCCTGCAACATACATCTATACTTATATTAAAGGGGGTACTATTTATCAAATTAAGTAGTCAGAAAAGTCAACAGCATTTATTTCATTACTATTTCCGTATTATACTATATAAAAAAATATTCTATTTACTACATTTACTATTCAGAAAAGTCAACTGCATTAAATGTCATTACTATTTTGGTATTATAATATTTTATTTATTTAATTTATTTATTTATTTGTTTTATTTTAAAAAGGTAAGTATAATAAAAAGATTTTAATAATAAAAAAATCAAATACCAAATAAAAATGTGCACTTTGACTTATTTGATTATATTTGGTATTTGATTATAGCAAATATATTTCTATTTAGTATATACATTAAATACTTACTAAAGTATTTATTTGTTTTATTTGTCAAAGTTAAGTATAGATTTGTTTATATTATCAAATCATAAAAAAATATTAAATCCATATTGTTAAAAAAAAAATTCATATAATTTTATAACAATTCTATACACTATTTAACAATATTTCTTTTTTATTATATAATAAAATAATAATTAAATATTATATGGTGAACTACAATAAGTAAAACTGTTACTTTCTCTTATATTAAGGGATAAATGTATATGCTAAAATTAAATTTTTATTAGTATAAATGTTTTAGTGAGATAATATATAAATTATTTTACAAGCTAGCCCTAACATGCTCATATTTAATGTTTTAAAAGATGTAGAAAAAAAACTTATAATAACTCTATTGTTTTTTAGACTTAAAAATTGATTAAAAGGGGTAAAAATTCCTAATTTTTTAGACTTAAACGTTGATTAACACCATAGATTGAGAGTTTATATTTAGTAAAATTCTTAATTGTAATAAAAAAATTATTTTTTGCTATATTTTAGAATATCTTTAAATTCATTATAAAAATAAAAAAGAAAAACAAAAACTACAATGAAAAAAGCAAGTCAGCTATATATCGATTTGTTGTACTCCTCAAATCACATTCACAATTTGACTACAAGGAAAAAAAACTCATTGATTAAAATATTATTTTGTCAAGTACAAGAGACTTTAAGACTCCACTTGAATATTATAAAACTTTTATTGAACATTGTACAATTTTTTGCATATTATAAACTTTTATTGAATATTGCACCTTATAATATAATATTCTCCAAATAAATATATCTCGTGCTTCGCACGTACTATATATATCCTATACATTTTTCTTTATTCATGTATATAATTATAAGCCTACTATATATATCCTATACATTTTTCTTTATTCATGTATATAATTATAAGCCTGGATAAATAACATTAAAATTGTGCACTCCGTGCATCGCACGGGCTCTGTACTAGTTCTTCAAAAAACGTATCCAATATTAAAACTAATCATCACTTGATTTTCTCAAAATTATAAATCCTAAAGCAATGGAATAGTAATCAGATTTAAGAAAAATAGTATACCGTTGGGAAAAATTCAAAACTAGTCCTACAGGTTGAGGGGGTGCCATTTTTTGTCCCGCAAGATAGCGAAAGTCACAATTAGTCCCACAACTTTCAAAAAGTAATCAAAAGTAGGGCTTTTCATGCGATTTCAAGTCTGAAAAGCCCGATATGCCATGTGGCGCAGATTTGGCGTTTTTTCGACATGTTGGCAGCAGTCATCACACGTGGCATGACACTAAACCTGTGGCACTAGTTTTGAAGATTTTCCTATTTTTATATTGTTATGCTTTTCTTTTGTTATATAAATTATTATATATATATATTAATTAATATAAAATATTATTAAGTAAATCTAAGATAAAATTATGAATAAATATAAAATATTATTAAGTAACTCTAAGATAAAATTATGAAGAAATATATAATTATTTATTATAACTATTTATAAAACATTTAATTACGAATAAAGATACAATATACATTAAAATAAAGTTAGAAAATATTTTTAATTACTCTTATTTTGTGATGTGTTATTTTTAATAGGTATTCTTTTAGCTTCTTTTAAAATTAAATTATTATAAAATTACAAAAAAAGTATTTTTATTCATCAGCTAATTATAGTTAACATTCTTTATTCATGGCATAATTGTTCTTTATACAATTTTATTATTATTTAATGAAAAATGTAGTAAAAATGTGTTAACTATAATTATGTCATGAATAAAAATATTTCTTTAATTTTATAATAATTTAATTTTATAGATTGGTTTACCAATCAGTGTGAACCCGAGAGAAAATAATCAACGTGCTGAAACTCATGGAGGACTTTAATAGCCAAATTTCTTGCATTCAACTGTAGAAATTTAAATATTCAGGTAAATATTTAGGGGCATTTTTGGATCATGGCCAGTAATAGCATCTGTATTATCTATTACATTTGTAAAGACAGTGCAAGCGCCAAGCTGAGAATCAATAGAGCTAAAAGCGTAAACAAACCTTCCATCTTGGCCAGAGAATATATTCAAATGGTGTTTCTACTTCCTCCCAAGAGTGACCGATTTTTAATGACATGCTCATAGTAGACATCTTCACCATAAAGTCGTCTTAAAAAAAAAAAAAAACAAATACCAGTTAAATCATCAGCAGATCATCGAAGCAAAGAGATATAAATATATTGGAAGTGTTTGTCCAATATACCTCCTTATTCTCAAATAAATTGAAAATGCTGGTAATGGAAGTCTGAAAATAAATTTATTACAAGATAGAAACGTACGCAAGATCAGCTAAGGTGTCTGACTTAATGACACCCTTTCCCTCAGGAAGTTCGAGACAAGAATAGTGCATAATCATTTCCTTTAACGTGTGTTTGGTGCTTTTGATATCGTTATCCCATAAGATGCTCTGAGACAACAAGTTTCAGTTAGGGACAAATAACCAGAGGTAACAAAATTGAAAATAAAAAAATAGGTAATAGTCTCAACTACCTTCCTAACGTACTCCATTTTTACGTCTTCCCGTGGTAATTTTCCTTTAGGAGAAAAAATAGAAGCATTCCAAAGTGCACCTCTGGCAACCATTACAGACGAAGCACCTTTGGCACAAACATGAAGACAAATGAAATGGTGGATTCACCACAACACTTCCGTGATCACTAGGAAATATTAAACTCAAAAGCCCCAAATGCAAATGGGCAAAAACAGATCACAGTCAATGTATTTGAAGCGAACTTAAACACCACTGGCTGAATGGAGATATGCACACAGTAGCTAGATGATTATCGTTTTGCAGAATACGAACATATGCCAATTAAAAAGTACAAACTACGGAAAACATGAAGAAGAAAGTTGAATCTTTGGTTTCTCCAGGAAAAAAGAAAACACCAACACCACAATAGCATATAGATTTACACAAATGGGATAACTGGAGGAATTATTCAAAAATCTTCCAATTACAGAAATGGGACGGTACCTGTGACGACTCTGATGCGTTCAAAATCCTCATACTCAAATACATCACCATTTGCTATAACTGGGATAGAAAGTGCAGCTACAACATCAGCAATCTCACCCCACTTAGCTGGATCTCTTGGCCTATCAGCCACTTTCCTACAATAAATTGACCAATCAATATGTATAATCAGGTAACAAGTTGAATAGCAGCAATGAATATAAAGAAAAGCGTAACACCGATCTAAATAAAGATAGACTTTATTTTATTTTTTGTGTAAGCTCTATAGTGATCATGGTTTACAGATACATTCAAGAAGCTTGTTCCACTTATACAAATACAGAAATGTGATGCAATCAAAAAATAAAATATAACAGAATCAGGGTTTATAGCGCATTTTGTGTCTTTCAGAGACAGAAAATTGTTGAAAATACCTTCCATGGACAGCTAGTGCAGAAACACCAGTTTTCTCAATTCTTCGTGCTAGTTCCACGGTGTCTTGGGGTGACTTTAGTAGACGGATCTTGCATGTCACAGGTGTCTCAAGATTTCTTTTCAATGTTGTCAAAATCTTATTCAATGGGGAGAAAACAGTAAGTCAGTCAACGGATACTCAGAGTCTAGCTATAATAAGTGAAGTCAGCTGATAGTAAGAACAACTCACGTACATCATGAATAAGATCTGGTTTCGACAATAAAGCAGCACCCATTCCACCACTAATAGAAAAAGACTTTGGGCAACCCATATTTATATCCACAGCAGCCACGTCCTTACACCTAAAATAGACAACTGCTTAGGATAATGTTACATATAACAGCATCAGGGAGTTTGGATCTGTTATCTTATGCTCAATCCCAGGTTTTAGTCATATGACTAAATTGCTCAGATTGCAGGGGCAGAAAGAATTTAGTCCCATAAATCTGAATCATTTGCTCTCCAGTCACCCTAAAGAATAAATAGACTCCGGGCTACCAAAATGAGGATGAACCAGACATTTTAGTGATATTTCACATAAACTATTGTTTCTTTTTAGTTAGGATCTTAGAACACATCCCATGTTAATTGTCAAGGTCAATACCAAAGATACAACCTTGATATCAAATCTCGTTATATAGTAAAATATTTTTGCACTTGAACATGGATTGAAGTTGTATTAAACATCAGTTAGACAAACTACGGTATCCACATTATTAATAGCACTCCTTATTACACTTCCAAAATCTTCGACAGTGTGCCGCCAAAATCAGTCAATAGAATGCATAACTTGATTGCATATAGAATCAAAGGTGAGGAGGGAGATTAACTTACACAAGTTGGGCAGCGCGAAGGGCCCTCACGGCATCTGAAGTTCCCATCTGGAAAACCACCCTACTTTTCTCTTCGGGACATGTTCTAAAAACAACACTCTCTGTTCCTTTCTCAACCACATCAACAGTCCCAAGCACATCTAATAGAAGTAAAAGTCACACAAGTACCAAAGATATGAGAAGATACAAAGAAAAGCCATCTATTGGCTGGCTTGAGGTAAGAATAATCTGTTTAAAAGCTGAAAACATATTAAATCCCACATAAAATAAAAGCAACAGAAACAATCCGCACTATAACACTTGAGCACCATTGATTTTCCGATCGCATTTGAGGAGCTTGTGATCAATAATCTCTTCCCCGTATGTGATGTCAGCCCCATATTCAGCAGCTAGCATCCTAAACGGCAACGTACCCTAGATTTCAAAAAATAAGCTCAAGCTATCAACGGAAAAAACGAAAAAAAAAAAAATGCTGCCAAATCCAGCTAGTCTAAAATCAGCAACAATCATCGATAACTACACAGTATGAGGATAAGAAAACAAACAATAAAGCAGTTAGATACTCACGACTCGAACCATTGGGGCCAGGACAAGCTTGTTCCAGTAATCCATCTCCATGGAAGGACAGTATATTAATTGACCCAATCAAGACGGATAACAAAGCAGCTCAAGAAATCAAAATAAGCAATAGATTCAGCAGCTAAATTGTGCCGTTCCCGGCCGTCGGCCGCCGAGTTCGAGCGAGGCTTTCCTAAGCCTGTACCAGTTATTACAGAGGTACTACTTGCCGTAATTTTGCGGATGACCTTTCCCAATTCTATGTTAAATTGTTAATTAAATAGTTACATATATCTGAAATTCTAAACAGGCTTCATATCAAACTAGTGAGTACAACACTCGTATCCGTGGCTAATATAAAAAATCATGCTTAAATTTTTTAAAAATAAAGCTTTTGATTTTAAGTTTCAAATAATTCGTAAAATATTTTATTATTATCTATACTTATATAATAAGGTGTACCATTTATGAAATTTAGTAAGTTGAAAAGTCAATGCAATAAATGCATTACTATTTTGAGCAATATAATATAATATTATATCTATACTTATATAAAAGGAGATTCTATTTACTACATTTATTATCCAGAAAAGTCAACTGCATTAAATACCATTACTATTTTGGTATTATAATATTTTATTTATTTAATTGATTTATTTATTTGTTTTATTTTAAAAAGGTAAGTATAATAAAAATATTTTAATAATAAAAAAATCAAATATCAAATAAAAATGTACACTTTGACTTATTTGATTATAGTTGGTATTTGATTATACCAAATATATTTTTATTTAGTATATACATTAAATACTTACTAAAGTATTTATTTGTTTTATTTGTCAAAGTTAAGTATAGATTTGTTTATATTATCAAATCATAAAAAAATATTAAATCTATATTGTAAAAAAAATCATATAATTTTATAAAAATTCTACTACACTATTTAACAATATTTCTTTTTTATTATATAATAAAATAATAATTAAATATTATATGGTGAACAACAATAAGTAAAACTGTTCCTTTATCTTATATCAAGGGATAAATTTATATGCTAAAATTGAATTTTTATTAGTATAAATGTTTTAGTGAGATAATATATTAATTATTTTACAAGCTAGCCCTAACATGCTCATATTTAATGTTTTAAAAGATGTAAAAAAAACTTATAATAATTCTATTGTTTTTTAGACTTAAACGTTGATTAACACCATAGATTGAGAGTCTATATTTAGTAAAATTTCTAATTGTAATAAAAAAATTAATTTTTGCTATTTTTTAGAATGTCTTTAAATTCATTATAAAAAAAAAAATACTACAATGAAAAAAGCAAGTAAGTTATATATCGATTTGTTGTACTCCTCAAATTACATTCACAATTGGCTACAAGGAAAGGAAACTCATTGATTAAAATATTATTTTGTCAGTAGTCTTAATGTACAAAAGACTTTAAGACTCCACTTGAATATTATGAAACTTTTATTGAACATTGTACAATTTTCTTGCGTATTATAAACTTTTATTGAATATTGCATCTTATAATATAATATTCTCCAAATAAATATATCCCGTGCTTCGCACAGGTCACGTACTATATATATCCCGTAAATTTTTCTTTATTCATGTATATAATTATAAACCTGGATAAATAGCCATAAAATTGTGTAACCCGTGCATCGCACGGGCTCTGTACTAATTTTTTTGGAGAGAAATAGTTATTATTTAAAAAATAATCAAATCTATACTTATATAATAAGGTGTACCATTTATGAAATTTAGTAAGTTGAAAAGTCAATGCAATAAATGCATTACTATTTTGAGCAACATAATATAATATCATATCTATACTTATATAAAAGGATATTTACTACATTTACTATCCAGAAAAGTCAACTGCATTAAATGCCATTACAATTTTGGTATTATAATGTTTTATTTATTTAATTGATTTATTTATTTGTTTTATTTTAAAAACGTAAGTATAATAAAAAGATTTTAATAATAAAAAAATCAAATACCAAATAAAAATGTACACTTTGACTTATTTGATTATATTTGGTATTTGATTATACCAAATATATTCATATTTAGTATATACATTAAATACTTACTACAATGTTTATTTGTTTTATTTGTCAAAGTTAAGTATTGATTTGTTTATATTATCAAATCATAAAAAAATATTAAATCCATATTGTAAGAAAAAAATCATATAATTTTATAACAATTCTACTACACTATTTAACAATATTCCTTTTTTATTATATAATAAAATAATTATTAAATATTATATGGTGAATAACAATAAGTAAAACTGTTACTTTCTCTATATCAAGGGATAAATTTATATGCTAAAATTAAATTTTTATTAGTATAAATATTTTAGTGAGATAATATATTAATTATTTTACAAGATAGCCCTAAGATGCTCATATTTAATGTTTTAAAAGATGTAGAAAAAAACTTATAATAACTCTATTGTTTTTTAGACTTAAACGTTGATTAACACCATAGATTGAGAGTCTACATTTAGTAAAATTCCTAATTGTAATAAAAAAATTAATTTTTGCTATATTTTAAAATATCTTTAAAATCATTATAAAAAAAAAAGAAAAAAAACTACAATGAAAAAAGCAAGTCAGCTATATATCAATTTGTTGTACTCCTCAAATCACATTCACAATTTGGCGGAAAGGAAACTCATTGATTAAAATATTATTTTGTCAGTAGTCTTAATGTACAAGAGACTTTAAAACTCCACTTGAATATTATAAAACTTTTATTGAACATTGTACAATTTTCTTGTGTATTATAAACTTTTACTGAATATTGCATCTTATAATATAATATTCTCTAAATAAATATATCCCGTGCTTCGCACGGGTCACGTACTATATATATCCCGTATATTTTTCTTTATTCATGTATATAATTATAAGCCTGCATAAATAGCCTTAAAATTGTGCGCCCCGTGCATCGCACGGGCTCTGTACTAGTTTATATTTAAATTCATAGCTTGTAGTTCATATTATACTAGTACAACACCCGTGTAATACACGGGTTATGAAAACAAATTATGTTTCACAAAAGGTAGCACTACAATAATTTACATAAAAATATAAAAAAATAAAGATAAAAAATAAATAATAAAATAAAAACAAAAATTGTAATATTATTTCAAATTTTGAAAAACTTCTCAGTATACAATGTTATTAGTTTGATTTATAATATTCCCATTATTGTCGCAACAAAGAATTTACAACCCAACGTTAGACGATGTTTGTCCCTGACTCTTGCTAATGGTCATCGCAAAGCACACCAAGAGAGGAAAATGTCTTCGTTGGAATTTGAATGACAATCTAGCATCAGACAGACTCAACGACATTCGTGGAATAAGAACTTTACTACCAATGTTACCCCCAGATAAAATCTTCGCTTCAATAACGCGATCACCAAGTTGAGTGATGACCAACCTGGTGCCATTATATAAGTCAGAAGATTGATCCATGTTTCGAATCAACATAACATGTACACGAACCTTTAATTTCATGATATGATTTGGAATGCCAGAGCACTTGATTCCATTCAGAAAGTCTGTTGTGTACACTGGATACTGGTTGTTTGAACCAACGAAGCTCTTACATATGCTGTCAGAGCTAAGATAAGTACGTTCTTCACCGAGGATCATTGAGATAATAAAATCATTAATAGATTCAACAATATTATTCGTCGGTGCAAGTATAGCCCTCCCTTCGAAGAATGATGGATCATAAAAATTGCTCAGTAATGAAGGATATGTACTTTACCCAATAGCTGTAAGATGATCATCTGCACAGTGTATTAGTATGTCCTGAGGAATATCGACAAACATTTCTCCATCAACTTCAACACCAATTTGACCATCTCCAATTTTTATGATCCAATCAGAGAACTCTTTAATTTCCTCGGCAGTGGCATGAGATTCTGACTGTCCAACATTTAGTCTCATGTTTTTTGTCAGTCTGAGTACTTTGCAATGCTCCCAGAGTTTAGACGAATTGATGGAGGCATACACAATATCCTCTCGACTCCCTTGCGGTACGACAAGAAGAATCTATCTAAAATCTTCACCACAAAAAAATAACCTTTCCTCCAAAAGGTAAACTTTTTTTCGAAGGATCCAAACACGTATGTTTTAAGCTTCGATCTAATGTTCAAAGCAATATTTGTTCATAATCGGTGCTTCATCCCATATGATCAATTTTGTCTTTTGCAGAAGAGATGCTAGCTCAGAATCTGGAGTAAATGAGCACATAGATTTCTCACTGATGTTGATAGGAATTCCAAAGCGAGAATGAGCGGTACGACCTCCGGGAAGTAATAGCGAAGCAACTCCGCTTGAAGCAACATTAACAACAATTTCACCTTTGCTTCGCAGTGCAGCAGATAACGTTCTCCAAATGAAGGTCTTGCCTGTTCCACCGTATCCGTACACAAAGAAAACCCCGCCAACATTATTTGTGACAGCATCTAAAATTTTTGTGTAAACTCCCCTTTGTTCATTAGTCAATGAAGAACAAAGTTGAATGTGCTCGACTTCTAGTTGTGTTTTATCATATAAAAGCTCCTGTTGGATAAGTTTATTATTTCCTTAATTGAACAACGAATCATCAGGCTGAGGCATACCGATATAATTTCGTAGAGATTTTTCATTGGATTGGACTAACTTCTCTACTTCCACTAACGCAAAATTATGCAACTGATCCTCACTAAGTCGCAAGTCTGCATCAAATCAATAAATGAAACACTTAATGTCAATATAGATATAAGACTAATTCTTACATAACAAAAACTTGGATATTGATAAAATCACATTTCTAATAAATTAATATATATATATATATGTATATTAATGCATTATAAAAGAAATACAAGTACATGTGCGGTAGGAAGAAATAAAACATGCAATCAAATTTGCGGAGATCTAAGCTTCAACATGTTGAGTGGAGTAATCCCACCGTTTCTTGGAAATTTGACTTACACAGAGAAACTGTAAGTATTGGAAATTTGCTTCTTTAAGGACAAGTAATTAAAGTCTGATTATTAGTTGTAATGTACCTCTGTATTTTTTTAACAATATGAAATCAAATGTGTATTAGTTTTATGTACATGTAAGAAATTCTTACATGTACACGCATTATAAAAGAAATTAATATATATATATATTAATATATATATATACATATATATAATAAAGTAATATATATATATTATTTAATTAAAAAGGAAGATTACCAATTAAAAATTATAATGAAAGTAAAGAATGCATCACCTTGAATTCTAAGTAATGTGTGTTGT